TATATATATATATAACTTACTCAGTATTATCTAATAATAGTGGAAAAAATAAGTTTTCTTCTTCACAAGGATTTTTCCTTTCAAGATGGTTCAACATTGGCACAGGTGGACGAGAAACGGCAGTCTGATTATGACAACTGAAGTATATATTTTCTATTTCCAATATATAACTACAGCATCTATTTGTAAAGAAAAATTTATTTATTTTGTAAGAAATTTAAAACTATGTAAACAGAGATAACCATTGTTTCTATAAATATATAAAAATCAATAACGATTTTAGTAGAATGTTACAGAAAAAAATATAATAAAATATAGTTTTATCAATTTTTAGTATTGTAATATGATAGGACAACTAAACAATTCAATTTGTTTTTCAATTATGATTCTTAATTTTTAATTATATTATCATCAGAAAAATAGACTCACAATTTTCATTAAAATATAATTTAAAAAAGTATCTTTTGTTACTACAATATACCATTAAAAAATATGCAAATATCAATACTTATTGCATGTATATAAATTTTTATCACACTCATTATTTTGTAATATAATATTTAAAACCTTTCCTTGAACCATGATTGTAATTTATATTACAAAATGGTGCATTTCTTTCCTCCTCAAACAGGAACCATATAGCAGTTATTTTGCCAAATTAATTTGTTTCTTAATAATATCACTTTTTACAAAAGACATTTTGGACTCTCTTAGGTTATTACAACAAATAGTTGAGAAAATCCAGACCAAAATCCAAACTTAAACTTCTACTAATACATTAAACTTTCTTCCTGTAAATTCTTTTAAAAACTAAAAATTTTCCTTTTTTTCATAGAACCAAAAAATCCTTTTCCCCATTCAATAAATTAGTTTCTCCATTCTTATCTACATTATTGCACTAAGGATGAATTCTTAGTAAGTCAATACTGCAATTTGCATCTTCTACAAATTTCTAAAATCTTTTATTTAATAACAATATGTGCTCTTTTATTTAAATTATTTTTATTTTTCATATAAATACATTTTCTTTAAATTTCCAACAGCAGTTATCTTTATCATAATTTATTATTTTAACATTTTTCCTCATCTACATTACAACCATTAACTGTAGAAAGCTCTAAAAAAACCAACTTACTTCTATAATTAATATTTTTTAAATCTGATACTGTATATGCTTTTTCAATATAACTCCAAATTTTATTTTTGTATTACATGTTTTATGTTTTGTAAGCAGTCGTGTTTGTATTCTGTGATGTATGTAAATGGAAATCTTATCTAAATATACAAATTCATTGTAAGATAAGATAAATGATTGCACCAAACCTTTAGAATATTTGTGATGTGTAAATTTTAAAATTAAATCATTGTAGAGGAACTGATTTGCAACTGATGAAAGACTGAGTCCGAAATACACTTTGTAAAATGTGACATCATAAAGAAATAAAGTAATTCAGAAAAACAACTGCTATGTGATTCCTATTTGAAGAAAAAAATGCCCCATTTTAGAATATAATATTTAATAATATTTTTAATTTGTATAAGAAAAACTATTTTCCATAATATTTATTAATAAGATGATAACTGCAAAAATTATGTGCGTACATAAAGTAAGCATTTTACAAAACTGTCTAAAATTTGTATTCCTTCTTATTCTAATCGATAAAATGTTAGTTTTTAAATTTGTTTTCTCTTAAAACAGAAATATATTTCCTGATAATGATGTAATCAAAAATAATATAAGTAAATGTAAGTAAAAAGAACAAAAGTAAAATAAGGTAGTCCTTGGTTTACGCCNTCTTCTAAGACAGATATTTTTAAAAAAATATTTTAATGCAAACAATAAAACTAATTCTAATAAAAGTATAAAATAAAGACACAGTTGCTCTGTTCAAATTAAATAAATCATACTATTTGTTAAATAATAAAAACTCCCCAAGAATATTCATAAATCCTTGGAACAGCATGAGTTACACAAATAAAAATGCTACATTAGAGTTTGAGAAATTGTAATATTAAATATACTTTAGAAAGTCAAAAGATATATTATAAATATTTGCCATTAGATGTAGGTTATTGGGGTGCGTATTAGGTAAGATATTCAAAAATCCTCAGCAAACAATTTTTAAAAATATTTGATCATATTTTAAAAGTAATTTTTGAGTTCAATAAACAAATTTGAAATATTAAATAGAATATTTCTTTATACATTAAAACTCATTTCTGTTAGTAAAAATTTAATTAAATTTTCTATTCATCAATCTATTTTCTATTAAAAATAATTTCAAATATGTATACCTGTTCTTGAACATCAATATCACATAATTCCAAACACAAAAGATTTTCAAATGGTTTGAAGAGAGCTTCATTAAAATGAAAATATGGCAATTCTGTATGAGTAGATAGTAAAACACTGACAATATCATGAATAGTTGTTACAGCTTTCTTAGAAATTACTCTATCTTGATGACAAGCTGCCTAAAAATGTGAAAAGATAACTTTCAGAAACAAAAATTCAAAAATATAATTTATTTTTTAATAAAGGAACTAAAATTATTGCAATAGCAGCTACACGTTATTAAAATGATATATTTTCTACCTCAACAAAATGAGGGGCAGTTACACTCCAAGCTTTCATGATATGAATTAACGGTCGACCTCCTCGAGCACAGCGCAGCATCACGTCTCCCAGACGATACAATAAGAGAGCATTTCCGTGATTTCCAGAAAAATAGGAATTTGTTTTATAACAACATTTAGAAAATAGTTGATTTTGGCTGGCAGCACATAATTCGATTAAAAATTCTATTAAGGCAGAAAGATTTAATTTGTTTGCCGCATCTTCAAATAACCTGAAATGTTATCAAGACTGACTTTAATTTGTTGTATTTGTAGAAACATTTTGAATCATTTTATTGTTTACCTATCCACTAGCTGAGAGAGACCTTCAATTACTTCATGAAGGTGAATTCCTTTTATTATATCACAATTAGTTTTAGATGGACTTCCTTGCATTAATAATTCACCAATGTTGACAGTAGGAGGTAATGGTGTTCCTGGCATGGAGGCAGGTTCTACACAATCACTAAAAAAATAATTTCATATATTAATGTGTATGTCAAAGAAATATTAAAATAATATTGAGTGCTATGTTAATCGTACATAACATATAAAAATGTTGCAAATAAATTAATGAAATCAACTATAAATTTTTATTTCACAATAAATTTTAAAAGTATGCATGGATAAAAGTAAACAGATTGAAAGATAGTAGAGAAACTGCACAACTTTGTTGTATTACTATAGAATTGAGACAAAGTATTGAGTTTTTGTAATTAAAATTTTTAAATTAGTATTAATACATATAACTTCTAATTGGAATGTCTTATAACCTGAAGGCCTGTAAATTGAGTCGAAAACGTCTGTTAGAACTATAAAAAAGTGCTGGAAACGTATAAAAAAGGTGTGTTTTTTATATACGTATAAATTATCTTTTGCTCTATCTAACCCAAGCACTTACATGTTTGTATGTATATATTTGGGTATTGTGAGATGTGAAAAAATTCGATTTTCGTTTGGGCTGTGGGAAATAACATAAAACAATGGTTTAATCTACAAAAAAAATGTACACCAAATTCCACAGTACCCAATATATCAGCCCAAAAACTCTGCACAATACTCAGCCCAACAAAAGTGCTAGATCACCAGTACACAAACTTCTACACAAGCACAAAGAAAGCTAACGCGAACATAAACTTAATACATAAAATCTTATAGTGGGTATTAATACTATCTTAAAAACTAGTCTACATAATATTACTAAATCTAACAAAAAAAAAAAAAACTTTTCTTCTGAAGAGAATGATGTATTCCAGGTGCACATCAAAGTCAGTTAATATTGTCCAGTTTCCTGCACTCGGATCTCAAAATCTACTTCTCCCCAAATCTCAGGCTGTTGACTTTGGCTTTGAACGTCTACTTAATGACTCCTTCCTTCAATTAGAAAATTCTTGGAAATTCCATAATCCTGCATCTGCAGGCATATAGAAACACTATTGGTAATTCAATGATCCAAAACTATGGTTTAATATGTTTATTTTGGTTGATTACATACATACCTATATGCATTTTGGGCCAACATACATTTTACGGCCTCTCATCAGTAATTTGTATTGAATCAACCATCTTCTTAAAAATGAAAGGACACAAACCTGACATTGTACATACTTCTCAGATACATATAGCAAATGATACAAACGGATACAGCAAAAATGAAAGTATGCTTACTTCCTAAACATCTGCAGACAAAGGATTACAGAATTTCCAAGAATTTTCTAATTAGAATATAGCTGGTATCACAACAAGAAAGGAAATATCCTTCCTTTGGCTTCACAATCCATGTCCGAAGTGTTCCATCTCTCCAGCCAAAAAGTTAGTTCTCCTCATAGATTAATTATATCTAGAGGGTTCACTCCTTATTCACCTAATGATAATTTTAGTCATGACATTTTCCCTAAATCAGCCAATCAGCATCTTTCTGCCAAGGGTGGCATTCCTGTGCACTGTCGTCATAATATTTGACATCTTTTACACGTAACTTCTAACAAATCACATGACTGTATGATTATTATTAATTTGTAACAGTTTGATTTAATTACTTTTGATAAATAGTATAGCTTTAAAATATGAATTGAGGAATTTTGTAAACATATTTTATCACATTGTGATAGCAAACTTTATAAATTTATATATTTTTTAAAATCTTCAAAATTTGGCATGAAATATATAATAAACCAATTATTTTGTGTATTGCAAATAAAAATTTAAAAAAAAATAATCAGTTTTCTACATGTATTAATTCCTTAGAATGTTCATAAAAAATGTATTTTTATTTAAAATATGAAATAAAATGTGTGATAAATAATGACCAGTTATAATGAATTGTAACTCATTATAACTGATAACAGGCAGGCCAGGAGGCATACAGGTGCTATATGGTGTCTCTGTCTACAATTGCCACAAGTGGTCCTCTAGTCTGGCCAAACTCCTAGGCTGTCCAACTTGGCATCCCAAGTGATCCCAGAAGTGTTCAATCGGTGACAAATCAGAGAACTGGGCAGGCCAGGAAAGTGTGGCAATGTGGCAGAGGAAGTCCAGTGACACCATAGCTGTGTGGTTGAGCATTGTTTTGTTGGAAAATGGCTCTTGGGAGCCCTGTCATAAGAGGCAACACATGTGGTTGTAAGATGTCACTAACATACTGCTGGACTGTCATGGTTCCTTGGATTACTACTACAGGTGACTGGTACCACACCCCAGACCAAACCAGCTGTGGGGTAGTGTGCTGCTCCAAAGCATAGGCAAGATTAAGGGGTTCATCACAGGGCCTCCAGCCACAGACACAGCAATTGTCAGTGCCCAAACTGAAACTGGGTTCATCACTGTAGACGATCTGGTTCCATTCTGTTGCAGTCGTCTGTCGGGAACAACACTGATCCAAATGGAGGCAACAGTGAGTGGCTGTCAATAGCAACATATGTAATGGCTGCTGCAATAACAGATGTTCCTCACCGAGGCATCTTGAAATGGTACGGACAGACACTTCGTCCTGTAATGATGGCATCTCCTGTGTCTGGATGGCAGACAATGATACAGTTGGCTGGCTGTGTGCATGCTTGTCAGTGGACCAGTGGCCCTCTCAAACTAGTGGTCTGCCGAGGGCATCCTGAGCCTGGGTGTCATGTGCAAGCTCTTTCTTGTCCACTAGTCCCAACACTTCCTCATAGTGTTGTTAGAACGACCTAGATTGTGTGCTATTCGGCAAGGTGACTATCTGGCTTCTCTCAACCTGATGATCCTTCTCCTCTCAAACTTGGTTAGTTGTTCATATGGTCTTCAATTGTGATGTAAAGGCATCTCTAGTAATATAGCATCTCTCTACAATGGATAAACTGCAGATAGGATGCCTTTATATGCTTTTTTATAGGTCAAGGGAGATGCACTTTAATGCCCTCTGCTGGCAGTATGCAATGAACCATCATGCTATAACTCTAATCATTTCCACTCCTGCTTGAGACTTATTTGCTTGCTAAGTTTTGCAGTGATACAAAACTCCTCCTTGGTGAGCTAATTTTTGTGGCAATAAGTGTACTTATAGATATTGTTATCCCTCGTACAACATGGCACTTCTACAACATGGTTTTGTTCTAACACAATTCAAGAATTTAGGAAATCCTCCATATAAAATTTCACAATTTTTAAGTGTAAATTCCATTATGTGATATTTTTTTATTCAAGTAAGCATGCATGTTGTCTCAAATTTGCCCAGGAATTTTAGAATATTGAAATTTTCAATTTGTTTTGTGCCTTTTTTCAGGTTTACTTTAACGAAAACTGATAGGACAAGGAAGAAAAAATTACGCTATCTTTCCTATCAACCAAGTGTCATCGTCAATGCTTTCAGACTTTAGCCTTTAACATTTTCACTGTGTTTTGTTTTTATACATTAATCTTCATATATAGTAAAGTTTATTTAAATATTTTTAGGTAAGTGTTATTAAATTTTTTTAAACGTAGGTAAGTAATCATTCATAAAAGTGATGAATGAAATTCGGTGTTATCTCAGTATTTGAACAATTTGGTATTCAAACTCAAATTCTAGAAAAAAAATCACTCAGTACTCAACTGAACAAACGCAACCTGCTAAAACATATTTTCAATTAATAACATATTTTAATTTTGTCATTCATAAAAAAATTTTTTATCATAAAATTTAAAAACAAATAAAGATGTTGCTGATATTTCTGATCAAGATCAACAAAAAAGCTCAGAAGACCACAATACTTTGTAAAAAGAAAATGCTGTGATTTAACTAAAATTAATGTTAATGCGTAATATAATAATTTTGATTGTGATTGTTAGCTATTTATTGGTGGAAATAAATTATTGATTGCTTTAATAAACACATTTCTCTTAGTAACGAAAAAGAATAGTATACTTTTATTAACTTTTGGAACCTAGTCCTATGTTTTGCATTAGTCTTTTGTTTCATATAACATGGATTCACATAACACAACACTTTTTTGAACACAACTACTGTGTTATACAAGGGATACCTGTAACTGATTCATAATTAATGATTAATTATAGATAATTTATAATGGCTAATTGGTCATTGGTTCTATATAATGATAAACACAATATATTAATATGTAATAATAATAATGTTTAAATTTAACAACTTTAGTATTAAATTTTTCTGTAATTGAAGTTATATTATGAAACTTAACTGTAATTATTAATCAAATATAATTATTAATGAATTAANATATAGTTAAATAAATGTTGCAGAATTTGCTGTAATACTTAATTTTGTTATGTAACGATGATCGGGTTTTTACATCTTTCATCATTATAAGTCGAATTTAATAGGACACGTATAGTTCTGTGTAAGTATGCAGGGCCTGGAGATAGAAAAGGCTCCTTTTTATCTTATTTGGATCTTTATTTTTGTTAGTAAAAATAGCATTAATATATAGGGACAGGAACCACTCGAACCCCTAAGTTTTCTTGGGGCCTGGGAAAATATTCCAGCTCTTCCCCCTCTCGACGGTCCTGCAATTACGAATTTTTTATATTGTTACTTTAATAAGTGTATTAAAGTATTTAAATAATGATAAATGAAAATATTCTCAAAATTTGTTGCATTTCATAAATTATTACCTGAAAACATGTTTCCAACAATCTGAACTATGACTTCCTAACTCCAATCCTCTACTTAGGATAACATCCATACTGAGAATGTGAGAGGTATGAAGTCTTAAATTTTTGTTCTTTCCTATTAATACTGATTTTTTAATTTTGTGTTTATCACATTTTGAAGAAGTAAATTTTTCATCTTGTAATAATGGACAAGAAACTGATGCCAATAGTGAAAACACAACTCCACATCTTGACTGAAGTCCTATAAAATTAAAATTATATAAGATGCTGCAATTCATTCACTGTATTTAATAGAAATTTATTGATAAACTTATACAAGAAAGCTGATTTAAATATTTTTCAAAGACTTCATTAAACACACACATTTACCTAAAATATTACATAATTTCGCAGCTCTTTGTAAACCATCTAAACTTTCTGCTATAGCATCTTTGGCACGACGATGCTCTTCTTTTGCACCATCCGTCCCTAATAAAAGACCGAGTGTACCAGTCACTCCACATGAATTAGTACCATTAAGCAATACAGAAAGAATTTCCAAGGCTGCATCCCAGCATCCTGTTAATACTCTTCTGCTAAATTTTATTCCTAATGAAAGAATTATTTTCTATAATAATTGTATTTTTTATATCTATCAGTATTAGATAAACAAAAAATCATTTTTATATCATGTTTATGAAAATTTATTGTTAATTAAATTATAAGTAAAATTTGTAAGGAAATTGTCTTCAATGAAACATCTTTTACAACTTTTTATATGAAAAAATATTTAAAATGTTGTATAAAGTTACATTTATTCATAACTATAAAGCATTATTAGTATTCTTTGTCCATTCCCTCTTAATTATATTTGGATATTTCATGGAAAATTTCAGCATTTTTGACAAAGAATTAAATTCATCATTAAGTCATTCTTGTTTTTTTTAGGAATTATTAACATAGTATAAGTTAAATTAACTTGAGCTATCAGTTACTGAAAACATCAAAATCTTTAAATGATAAAATATAGTAGTTTATTTATGTAACAATATAAAAATATATTATATTAATACCTGCTTCAATTATAGGAGAATTCTGAGTATGCGTTGCAGCTCTTTCTAATCTTCGATAATCAGACAAATATTGGTCTCCAGGAAAATCCATTCCAATTGCCTTTATATCTGAAACATTTACAACCGAAGGAGAATCAACACCAAACTGCAATCCTAAAGAAAAACAGGATGGGAACAAATAAAAATAAATCTATCTACGAAAACAAATTAATATATAATAAGTACAATATAATATTATTTCAAAACAAAACATCAAGAAAGAATGAACAAAGTGTCTTAAATTTCACATAAATTATGTATAAAATATGTATACATAAGTGTATATAATTTTGTTATTAAATATGTTTGAGTTAAATAATATTATTTTCAATAAAGTCAAAATTTTAACAAAAAATTCACTACTTATATAGAAATTCTTGATTTTAAAATAGAAATATATCAACTATTATTGAAGGAATTAAGAATTATTTAAATATATTAAAGTACAAATTTTGTAATAACAATTAACAGATGTCATTATGTTGAATTAGAACTAAATAAATGAAAAAAAATGTGTGAAATGAAACTGAACAGATGAAAAAAACAAATATCTGTGTAATACCATACATACTGTATGTAAACATATTAAATATCTGTTAGTCAGTTTAAAAATTTTGGAATTTAATTTAAAATTACTTATATATGAATTATGTTGCCTAATATCCTGAGAAATGTCCTTTAAAATCTTCAACAAAATTCAACTTTGTAATTCTTAATATTAATAAAATCCTAGCATAGTCCTATTTAGATCTCAGGCATATTTAAATGCATTTAAAAGTAAACATCTCATTATAGATAATATAAAATTCAAATTAAATAATGCTATGCACAAACAAATTCACATTTAAATACTGAAGTATCATTTCAATTTTTAAAAATAATTCTTGTAAAAAATTCAGTCTCCTTGTTACAGGTATGCATTGCTACATGGTTATCAAAAGATAACCATTTCCACACGTTAGAGAGGGTGTCACCATCAGATATATCAATGAAATTGTCTCAATATAATAATGACTGTTCAAACTTTAGAAGTTCTACAATTTTGGGATTTGACAAAACTTTTAAAAAAATTAGCAATTCAAAAATTATAAAAATCACTGAAAGTCTATGGATTTACCTCAGTAATCTTCAAAGACAATATAATCAATATATACAATGACAACTCCAGTCTTTATCCAAAAATAATTGAGACTGAGATTTTTCAGTCTGAAATGTTATCGTGTTTCCATTAAAACAGTTTATACAGAAGTCCTGTAGCAATGTCTTTTAAATATATAGAAAATATTTTGAATAGCTTTAAATGTTCAAATAATTCAAAATAATTTTTAGAATATTTGCNACACAAAAGATTTTCAAATGGTTTGAAGAGAGCTTCATTAAAATGAAAATATGGCAATTCTGTATGAGTAGATAGTAAAACACTGACAATATCATGAATAGTTGTTACAGCTTTCTTAGAAATTACTCTATCTTGATGACAAGCTGCCTAAAAATGTGAAAAGATAACTTTCAGAAACAAAAATTCAAAAATATAATTTATTTTTTAATAAAGGAACTAAAATTATTGCAATAGCAGCTACACGTTATTAAAATGATATATTTTCTACCTCAACAAAATGAGGGGCAGTTACACTCCAAGCTTTCATGATATGAATTAACGGTCGACCTCCTCGAGCACAGCGCAGCATCACGTCTCCCAGACGATACAATAAGAGAGCATTTCCGTGATTTCCAGAAAAATAGGAATTTGTTTTATAACAACATTTAGAAAATAGTTGATTTTGGCTGGCAGCACATAATTCGATTAAAAATTCTATTAAGGCAGAAAGATTTAATTTGTTTGCCGCATCTTCAAATAACCTGAAATGTTATCAAGACTGACTTTAATTTGTTGTATTTGTAGAAACATTTTGAATCATTTTATTGTTTACCTATCCACTAGCTGAGAGAGACCTTCAATTACTTCATGAAGGTGAATTCCTTTTATTATATCACAATTAGTTTTAGATGGACTTCCTTGCATTAATAATTCACCAATGTTGACAGTAGGAGGTAATGGTGTTCCTGGCATGGAGGCAGGTTCTACACAATCACTAAAAAAATAATTTCATATATTAATGTGTATGTCAAAGAAATATTAAAATAATATTGAGTGCTATGTTAATCGTACATAACATATAAAAATGTTGCAAATAAATTAATGAAATCAACTATAAATTTTTATTTCACAATAAATTTTAAAAGTATGCATGGATAAAAGTAAACAGATTGAAAGATAGTAGAGAAACTGCACAACTTTGTTGTATTACTATAGAATTGAGACAAAGTATTGAGTTTTTGTAATTAAAATTTTTAAATTAGTATTAATACATATAACTTCTAATTGGAATGTCTTATAACCTGAAGGCCTGTAAATTGAGTCGAAAACGTCTGTTAGAACTATAAAAAAGTGCTGGAAACGTATAAAAAAGGTGTGTTTTTTATATACGTATAAATTATCTTTTGCTCTATCTAACCCAAGCACTTACATGTTTGTATGTATATATTTGGGTATTGTGAGATGTGAAAAAATTCGATTTTCGTTTGGGCTGTGGGAAATAACATAAAACAATGGTTTAATCTACAAAAAAAATGTACACCAAATTCCACAGTACCCAATATATCAGCCCAAAAACTCTGCACAATACTCAGCCCAACAAAAGTGCTAGATCACCAGTACACAAACTTCTACACAAGCACAAAGAAAGCTAACGCGAACATAAACTTAATACATAAAATCTTATAGTGGGTATTAATACTATCTTAAAAACTAGTCTACATAATATTACTAAATCTAACAAAAAAAAAAAAAACTTTTCTTCTGAAGAGAATGATGTATTCCAGGTGCACATCAAAGTCAGTTAATATTGTCCAGTTTCCTGCACTCGGATCTCAAAATCTACTTCTCCCCAAATCTCAGGCTGTTGACTTTGGCTTTGAACGTCTACTTAATGACTCCTTCCTTCAATTAGAAAATTCTTGGAAATTCCATAATCCTGCATCTGCAGGCATATAGAAACACTATTGGTAATTCAATGATCCAAAACTATGGTTTAATATGTTTATTTTGGTTGATTACATACATACCTATATGCATTTTGGGCCAACATACATTTTACGGCCTCTCATCAGTAATTTGTATTGAATCAACCATCTTCTTAAAAATGAAAGGACACAAACCTGACATTGTACATACTTCTCAGATACATATAGCAAATGATACAAACGGATACAGCAAAAATGAAAGTATGCTTACTTCCTAAACATCTGCAGACAAAGGATTACAGAATTTCCAAGAATTTTCTAATTAGAATATAGCTGGTATCACAACAAGAAAGGAAATATCCTTCCTTTGGCTTCACAATCCATGTCCGAAGTGTTCCATCTCTCCAGCCAAAAAGTTAGTTCTCCTCATAGATTAATTATATCTAGAGGGTTCACTCCTTATTCACCTAATGATAATTTTAGTCATGACATTTTCCCTAAATCAGCCAATCAGCATCTTTCTGCCAAGGGTGGCATTCCTGTGCACTGTCGTCATAATATTTGACATCTTTTACACGTAACTTCTAACAAATCACATGACTGTATGATTATTATTAATTTGTAACAGTTTGATTTAATTACTTTTGATAAATAGTATAGCTTTAAAATATGAATTGAGGAATTTTGTAAACATATTTTATCACATTGTGATAGCAAACTTTATAAATTTATATATTTTTTAAAATCTTCAAAATTTGGCATGGAATATATAATAAATCAATTATTTTGTGTATTACAAATAAGAATTTAAAAAATAATCAGTTTTCTACATCACAGTGATAGCAAACTTTAGAAATGTATATATTTTTTAAAATCTTCAAAATTTGGTATGGAATATATAATAAACCAATTATTTTGTGTATTGCAAATAAAAATTTAAAAAAAAATAATCAGTTTTCTACATGTATTAATTCCTTAGAATGTTCATAAAAAATGTATTTTTATTTAAAATATGAAATAAAATGTGTGATAAATAATGACCAGTTATAATGAATTGTAACTCATTATAACTGATAACAGGCAGGCCAGGAGGCATACAGGTGCTATATGGTGTCTCTGTCTACAATTGCCACAAGTGGTCCTCTAGTCTGGCCAAACTCCTAGGCTGTCCAACTTGGCATCCCAAGTGATCCCAGAAGTGTTCAATCGGTGACAAATCAGAGAACTGGGCAGGCCAGGAAAGTGTGGCAATGTGGCAGAGGAAGTCCAGTGACACCATAGCTGTGTGGTTGAGCATTGTTTTGTTGGAAAATGGCTCTTGGGAGCCCTGTCATAAGAGGCAACACATGTGGTTGTAAGATGTCACTAACATACTGCTGGACTGTCATGGTTCCTTGGATTACTACTACAGGTGACTGGTACCACACCCCAGACCAAACCAGCTGTGGGGTAGTGTGCTGCTCCAAAGCATAGGCAAGATTAAGGGGTTCATCACAGGGCCTCCAGCCACAGACACAGCAATTGTCAGTGCCCAAACTGAAACTGGGTTCATCACTGTAGACGATCTGGTTCCATTCTGTTGCAGTCGTCTGTCGGGAACAACACTGATCCAAATGGAGGCAACAGTGAGTGGCTGTCAATAGCAACATATGTAATGGCTGCTGCAATAACAGATGTTCCTCACCGAGGCATCTTGAAATGGTACGGACAGACACTTCGTCCTGTAATGATGGCATCTCCTGTGTCTGGATGGCAGACAATGATACAGTTGGCTGGCTGTGTGCATGCTTGTCAGTGGACCAGTGGCCCTCTCAAACTAGTGGTCTGCCGAGGGCATCCTGAGCCTGGGTGTCATGTGCAAGCTCTTTCTTGTCCACTAGTCCCAACACTTCCTCATAGTGTTGTTAGAACGACCTAGATTGTGTGCTATTCGGCAAGGTGACTATCTGGCTTCTCTCAACCTGATGATCCTTCTCCTCTCAAACTTGGTTAGTTGTTCATATGGTCTTCAATTGTGATGTAAAGGCATCTCTAGTAATATAGCA